ATTTTCCATGTCTGCAGCAACCTTCTTTGGTTCTTCACGCACCAAGTCATTTGTTCCAACATGAAGGATAATGGTGTTGTACAGCTCTTTCTCTGTATGGTTCTCATCAAATTTCTTCGCAAGCTGGTTCACAGTGGCACCACTGTAGGAATGTGAAATTGCTTTGCCACGTGCAGCTCTTCCAATCTTTTTACCGTCAATATGCTTTACCATAGAGTCCCCTATCACCAAAACTGCTTTCTCCTGGCTCTGCTTCGACAGCTTCGTGGAGGATTTCTTCATGGTAACCACATTGTTGCCGGGGTCCTCTCTCAATTCCTTGTCTTCAGGTTTTGGACGCTTTCTAGAACGAGTTGAGTCCTTAGGTGATCCCCTTGGGTGGTTGGCTTCTTTGGAATTTTGCAGAACTTGGTCATTGTCAGAACTTGGTTCTTCCACATCAAGCACTTGAAATACATTAGGTGTGAGTGGAATTTTTTCTTTGTTGATAGCAGGTTTTGATGATTCCTTGGCCTTTTGGTCCGTCTTGGTCCACTCGTTTTGTTTTATATCAAGAACACACTTGATATTGGCATTATCACCGCTCAATTCACTCACACTTAAATTCAACTGTTCGATTTCGCCCGCCATTTTGTTATTTTGTTCTGACAATGTTTTTATGGTAATTTCTAAATTTGTTGATTTGGATACTGCCCGCTGCGATTCATCTTCTTGTTTAGCTTTAATTTCATTAATCAGAGTCATAATGTTGGCAATTTGATATTTATAAACTTCACAATTTCCGCACATCGAGTGATTTTCATCGACATCTGGCTTCGGATCGTGTTGTTTGTTGACGACGTCGACCATGTGCTTTGTCGTTTTTGTGTTCTCATCTTGATTTATTACGCCATTTGCTTGCGCACTTGCCTCTAGAGCGCTTTGCAGAGACTTTTCCTCGTTGTCTTTCATAATCTGCAGTTTTTCTTTCTTCGGGCCGTGCCATTTTAAGCTAAAATCTTTGCTTTTGAATAATTTTTCCTCTCCGCGAGGCGAAGACCACTTCCCGTCGTCGCATTTCAAAATCGCCGCTACGAACGTTTTTAGCGAGTTTAGATCGCTTTTCCATGTAAAATTATTTATATTGTAGAATGGAAAAGAAGATTTTTCTATTTTGCTTTCAGATTCGCTGGTTTTGTTGTCGGAATTTGCAACAGATGCGGAGCTCGGAATTTTGCCACCTTTCGCCATGACACCGGAAGCTGGACCCACTATAAATATAACTATAAATAAGAGTTACTTTCATCCTGCTCATCAGCACTACACTGATGAGGCCCATTAGGCCGAAACGGTACCGTCTGTAGTTAGATATCGCTCTATGGCCTTTAGGTCATATTGAGCGCTCTACAGGATGAGCCATGCCGCTTACGCATTGCGCACGCTCACTGCTTGCAGTTTGAGCGCTCTGGCATGGTTTTGATGTCCCACAATCGTGAGGCATCAAAGGTAACTATAAATAAGAGTTACTTTCATCCTGCTCATCAGCACTACACTGATGAGGCCCATTAGGCCGAAACGGTACCGTCTGTAGTTAGTTTATATATCTATCTATATATATATATATATATATTAAGATGAAAATGTTCTAGAGTGTGTATTATATAATTTTCATACCCAGCGCAAGCAGAAAGATGTTGTCTGCCGCGGCTGGGTATATCGCTCTATGGCCTTTTAGGTCATATTGAGCGCTCTACAGGATGAGCCATGCCGCTTACGCATTGCGCACGCTCACTGCTTGCAGTTTGAGCGCTCTGGCATGGTTTTGATGTCCCACAATCGTGAGGCATCAAAGGTAACTATAAATAAGAGTTACTTTCATCCTGCTCATCAGCACTACACTGATGAGGCCCATTAGGCCGAAACGGTACCGTCTGTAGTTATTTATATATCTATCTATATATATATATATATATATTAAGATGAAAATGTTCTAGAGTGTGTATTATATAATTTTCATACCCAGCGCAAGCAGAAAGATGTTGTCTGCCGCGGCTGGGTCTCGAACCCGCGACCTTCGAATTACTAGATCGACGCTCTACCTACTGAGCTACACGGTCAGACGGATTTAAGACTGAAAATTATGAAATATATACTGAATGTCATAAACATAATCGTTTATATTAATTCAGCATCGAACAATACTAGTTCTGTAAGTGTTATGTTAGTTGTGTAATTGTACACCCGTGACCTTCGAATTACTAATTAATTATTAATTATTATTAATAATTATTAATAATAATTAATAATTATAAAATAACCAAGAAGAATTAAGAATATAGAATATATATATAGAATATATATATATATATATATATATATATATATATATATATATATATATATATATATATATATATATATATATATATATATATACTGTTAAGATGACCGAGTCAGATCATAAGAATAGAAGTTTGAATTAGAACAGTTGTAATAGATTTTGCCATAAAAAAATATGTTTTTTATTTCAAATATGCGGTCGTTATATACGTTGCTATGTGTTGCTAGTCATTAGCGACGCTTGGGTGCATGCATATATTAACGTGCAACATATTTGTACACTAGTCAGGCGGCCGGGTCCCGCGGTCGGAAAGAGAGGGCGTTGCAGGCAAAAAATAAAATACATTTTAAAATACATTTATTTCCTGAAAACGTTTTACAAAATTTAGTGCGGACTACTACTAAGAGCGTAACGTTTAGTTGTTTTCGGTACGTTTAAAGAGTTCTCATATTCTTGTCTGTCTTCGGAAGGTCTTTTTTCGAAGGTTTGCCGGGACTTGGAAGAGGGTTGGAGAAATGGGTTAGGGGAAAATAGCTACCAAACAGGATCGTATTTTATTTTATTTTATTTTTATAAACTAAACGCAAACATACATTACGAGTCAATGTCGCTAAAAGGTCCATATGTGTTTCTGATAAGGCTTTTCAAAATAAATTTTCTCTTGTCAATAGCGGCCTCTAACGCTTTCCTGTGGTCGAAGTTATCATCGCTAACAAAGACATTCCTGGTTTCCGTATCCTTTTTGTGCACTGGACCCCTCTTTAGTTGCTTTATCTTGTCATTACTTGTCTTTAAATTTATTTATCTTTAAATTTATTTAAATTTATTTAAATTTATTTATTTATATTGTCTTTAAATTTATTTAATTAATTTATTTTGCGAGTGATCATCTTAATTAATTCATAAGTGATAATTTTTGGAAGTTATGCCGAGGATGATAAAACAACGAGAGGTTTCCGACGTAGCATCGTTCTGTTTCGTGATGGAAATTTATGCCTGTCGCAAAACAAAGCAAGGTATTTTCGGAGTGTCATTCTGTTTCAAGATGCCAGAATAAGGAGAGCAGATATAAATGTTAGACGTTTTAAGTGAAAATATGGCTGAAGGGTTAATAATAATGGTTTATCCCGTTGGTTATTGTCACAACTATGAGAAGACTGTGGTGAAGACTATAGTCGTGACTATTAAGACTATAGTCATGATTATTAAGACTATGGTGAAGACCATAGTCATGACTATTAAGACTATAATCATGACTATTGAAACTATAATCATGACCATTAAGACTATAGTCATGACTATTAAGACTATGGTGAAGACTATAGTCATGACTATTAAGACTATAGTCATGACTATTAAGACTATAGTCATAACTATTAGGACTATAGTCATGACGATTAAGACTATAGTGAAGACTATAGTCTTAATATTCATGACTATAATCTTAATAGTCATGACCATAATCTTCACTATAGCCTTAATAGTCATGACTATAGTCTTCACCATAGTCTTAATAGTCATGACTATAGTCTTAATAGTCATGGCTATAATCTTCATCACCGTCTTCATAGTCGTGACAATAACCAACGGGATAAATATACCTTTTCACCCTTGCTTCAAATAGCTTTTGTTGAATGTAGCTGCTTCATTTCTTCAAATTTCCCAGTAACAGTAATTCTTAAATAATGAGATTTGTTAAATAATGTTGAACAACATACAAATATTGACGATAGCAACGACGTTGACAACCATGTTAACCCAGGATTAGCAACTATTTAGTTCTGTTTAATTAAAATATGTCTTGATTTTTGTGATGAATAGACTCCTCACTACCTTTTTGTAAACATACGAAAGTTAAATAGGCAATAATCCCGACCAAAGTTTTTAACATCACGTTATTAAGCGTGGTAACATTGATCTCTCTGTAGACTTGTTCAAGGATCCCCTTAATTCGCCTCTTCGATCTAAAGTAATTTGTAACGAAGTAACTTGGTACCTATTTATTTAACATCCACAAGAAAGGTTCCTTCGAGAGAGTCGGTTTTGCTGTTCCTAAGTTTATGTTCGTCAATATATGTAGTTTGGCAAAAACAAAAAATCGAGTACGAGCTGCAGTTGCACTGGAAGCAGACTTGGTCAATAACGATATAGATGTATGTGTGGTGAGCGAGAGTCACCTGCAACCTGAAAAACCAGACGCTGTGGTGTCCATTCACAATTATTCCATATTTAGAAGAGATAGAAGTTGGGAAGGACGCGATATGAGAGCAAAAGGAAGGGTAGCAATATATGTTCGGAACAACTTAAAAGTTATTGATATTTATCGATCCAGTTTGTACGAACTTATTGGTGTCACACTTCTGTTACCTACAGGAAACCCCATGTTGATATATGGCCTTTATCACCCACCTAGGCACAATTATCTGGAGAGCGACTTATTCGATTATTTGATAAATATTTCTGACGACGTTTTGCACAAATATCCAGACACTGTAATTGTTTGTGGAGGGGATTTGAACAGTTTGGATATAAAACACCTTGAGGAACTATCAGGATGGGATGCAGTGGTCGACTTTTCAACAAGGGGTAACGCATGTTTGCATAACTGCCTTACAAATAGAATAGATTTGTTCTCAAAATGTTATCCTTTCCATATGTTAACTAAAACAGACCAGATAGGGGTTATTTTACCAGCAGAAACGAAACTAAAACCTATGCGCCGAAATGTTGAATTTCGGGATTGTAGAAAGCATCGAAAGGAAGATTTCCACAAAGCTTTAGCAGAAGAAGATTGGGAGGATGTATCGCTGTCCACGAATGTAAATGACGCTTTGAATTGTCTTGAACGTAAGATCATGGATCATATGAATAAATGTATGCCACAAAAACAGTCTCAATTTCGTTACCTGACCCTTACTGGATGAGTCCTTTAATTAAATCTTTGCTAAAAGCTAAATCCAGAATTGCTCGGTCGCAAAAGGATAGACTCAGTTTAATTAACAAAAGGATTTCTGATGTCATTTGTCTAAACAGAAGAAACTTTAGGGCCTTGGCGGGAAGTAGAACTTGCTGGAGAAAGACGAATGATATTTCTCAGCGAAATGCATCGTCATCAAGAGTAACTTTGGATAATGCATCACTTGCAAGATTAAATCGCTACTTTGGCCAACTCTGCGACGATGATAGTTATGTCGAACCGACGCTCTCAATTATTGGTGATGAAGTAGATATTCCTAGCTTCATGGAACAGCAGGTATGGAATGCCTTGAAAAGAATAAAGAGGACAGCAACAGGTCCCGATTATATTCCGTATTGGGTTTGGAGTGATCATGCTGAAATTCTAACCGAAGTTATAACTAACGTCTGGAATTTGTCCCTTTCATCACATACTTGGCCAGATTCATGGAAAAGAGCGAATATTAACCCTCTTGCAAAGGTTGATTTACCAAAGGAAGATGCTGACTTTCGTAGAATAAATATTACACCTGTAATTGCGAGGACCTTCGAAAAGCTCGTTTATAATAGTCAGGTCAAGTCGACAGTTGAGGAAATTTTATCCCCAATGCAATTTGCGTACAGGCAGGGGGGAAGTTGTACAAACGCTCTGTTGACTATTCAGAACAAAGTACTAAGCTTCTTAGATAGAGCGGACTGCAAAGCAGTTAGATTGTTTTCTATGGATTTTAGCAAGGCTTTCGACTCCGTGAAACATTCACTCCTCTCGGAAAAGTTAAAAAATGTGCCACTCAACCCGTATATCATAAATTGGTATTTAAATTTTCTAAAGAATAGGAAGCAAAGAGTCGTTTGTAACGATTTTTGTGGAGAATGGATGGATGTTAATAAGGGTACAACAAAGGGAAGCATAAGTGGCCCCAACCTCGGTCCCAGGGTCTTTAGGAAAGACCCTGGTATCGGCTGGTCACGTGCCTCGTTACTCGGAAGTACATGATAGCTGGTTTAATGTTGGAATGGAAGAACAACTACCGAACATCACCGCAGATAGTGTAGCAAATAAGTTAAGTAAACTTAACCCGAATAAAGCAAGCGGTCCGTTCGACCCGAATGTAAAGATAATAAAAACATTCGCAAAATACTTCGCCGAGCCGCTATGTTACATCTTTAACGAATCATTTACTTGCAGAGTATTCCCAGATATTTGGAAAATTTCGAGGGTGTGTGGGATTCCTAAAAGTAAACCCTGCTCTAGGGTAGACCTTTTAAGAACTATTTCATTAACGAGTACATTGTCAAAGATACAAGAATCAGACGTTAATGATTGGATTTATGAGGATGTTTATGATAAAATCAGTAGCAGTCAATTTGGCGGTCTGCCTGGAACATCTACAATACATGCGTTGATTTATTTGTTACATAAATGGCATATGGCAATGGAAAGCCCCCAAAGAATTGTTCGTATTACGTTTCTTGATTTTCGAAAGGCATTTGACTTGATCAATCATAATGTGCTGCTAGAAAATTTTATGCAAATCGGCGTTCGTCCAGCTGTGGTTGGTTGGTTTGCATCATATCTTTATAACAGATCACAAGTAACGTCTTTCCATGGAGAACAGTCTGATTGTAAAAGAATCAAGGGAGGCGTTCCACAAGGGAGTAAGTTGGGTCCTATTGCGTTTATAATAAAAATAAACCAATTACCAACGTCTATTATACCCAATAACCAAGATCAAATATGTAATGCCGTAGAAGACCAGGACGTAGCGATGTTTATGGATGACACAACATTATCGGAAGTAATCAATGTCAGTGACCATTTAGGTGGCATCCCAATCGGTAATACTCAAATGAACGTAGACAAGGTGGTACAGTTTGCAAAGGACGAAGGAATGGAACTAAACTATAAAAAGTGTATGGAGATGATTATTGACTTTAGGAAAAATATAACCTCTATACCCCCAATTTATGTTGGTGGTCATAATGTTTCTCGAACGAAGTCATATAAGTTACTGGGAATATGGTTAGATTGCGATCTTAAATGGAAAACTAATACGGAATATATTACAAAGAAAGCGGCCAAGCGTCTGTATTTATTAAAGATCTTGAAGAGTTATGGTGCCCCCATGGATGATTTGTTAGCATTTTACTGTTCGGTAATTCGTCCTGTTTTAGAATATGGTGCGGAGATTTGGAACGGAGGTCTAACCCAAGAGCAGAAAAAGAGCATTGAACGAATTCAAAAACGAGTACTTAGAATAATTTACCCAAACCTAGACTACGACCAAGCAATAACTGAGACAAAATTACAAACTTTGGAAGAACGTAGGGACGAATTATGTGTATCTCTAATTAAAAAAATGCTGGAACCAAACCATAAACTTCATAGCCTCTTACCAAAGAAACTAAAATACATTAGGCAAAAAGAAACAAGAACTAACAGTCAGAAATTATATAATTTCCCCTCTAAAACCGAACGTTTTAAACACAGTCCTTTAGTTTACTGTATATACTTATATAATTCTAGATTAGTTGATTAGGATCATCATTTTTAAAATTTTATCAGTTAATGTACAAATAGGTATGCATTAGTAGTTTTTATACATATTGTAAATAGATATAGATTAGTAAAACTTTAATTTTAATGAATGACATGTAAATATATAATATATATATACTTTTTTATACCCAAATTTGTAAACACATTGTAAATTAGCGTAACTACTACTAAATGTGTTAATAAACCATTACCATTACCATTACCATTACCACCAAAATTGATTGCCCGAGGGGGGTGTGGTGAAAGTATCAAATTACAAACAGTTAAAAACATAAATTTTGCGAACTATTACTAGTATTAAAGTTCAAAATGCTTGCCAATTTTTGTTTATTTTATTTGCTTTGAATTTACAAGAAAATTCTTACATTTTTACCAACAGTCAAGTCAAGAAACCAAGCAAATCGTTACTCCCAGTGCTCTCTCGTGTTATTATTATTCAATGCTCTCTTCACACTCGAGCGCGGTTTTATAACAAACGTTTATGGGCTTTTCAGTGGTCACCATTTCTACATATGTTATGTTTTTAAAACACGCATTAGATTTGCCCTTTTTTGTAAACGTTGCTATGCTTTGCACGTCTTGTTTATAAGATTTTTAAAAGAAACAGTATTGTATTGTATTGTATTGTATTGTCTATGACTAGAGAGCAGAGCCCAATCAGCAAATGTAAACATTTGATACTAGCCAAACAGAGAAATGTCTTTCAGTGATTTATCTTTAAAATTTTGGATTTAGTACATAATTCGTATTCATTAATTATAGTAAGGCTTTAGCCTTTTTCTTGGTCAGATGTTTTCCTAATATGCACACAACTAGGCTGTAATCTACCTCACAAATTTACAGTGTCAGACGCGCACAGACTGTCATACGAAAACACATAAATTTTCGAGTTTTCTACTTCTACTAAGGCTACTAACAGTTTTCATTGTGTCTCAATCATCTGTTTATTTCTAGTTCAATAAGTTCATTTATATTTCTATATTTATTTGATAGTGGCATATATAGTGATACATGTAGGCTATTTACACACAAGCAATCCTGGATATGATAGAGACGATACAAGCTGTCCATTAAAAAATAACGGTATTCTATTTCACAAAGCAAAAAATTTAAATCTCACTTGTATTATTAAGAATATATATAAAGCAGAAAATTAAAGCTTGTGTCAAAACGAAAGCTGTTTATAAAATGTATAAATGTGGTATAAAAAACACAGTAGTAAAACAGTATGACAAATATATTGTTGCTTGACTTATCTTTGATGTATGACTTTACTGTAATATCGTAGATTTTCAACAGATAGCTAGACTTTGACATATACCATGATCGTTGAGATCTGGCAGGAAATTTTATAGTCTTTTGACGGGATTTAAGTTTTGTGATAAGGCCTTATTATAATAAACAATCTCGATACAGTTGGCGTCTTGGCGATATTTCGGAAATCAAAAGATCTCGCTATTTCGTTCCAATTCCACATCTCATCAATAAATATATTGTTTTTGTCCGAGTATCAGGATATACTTTAATACTAACAGTTAAATAAATATAAACCACATTGGTCGGTCTTGAGATATGAATTTTCTTGTAGGCTTATTGCCACGCCGCCCAGGCATGCATTCTTTGTAAGTTGAAATCTGATCCAACTTGCTTGAATTGTAACTCGACACTAGATTATAGAGCAGAAAGTCACATCACGATAAATATTAATTTTTAATTGCAGTTCTCTTCACGATTTCTTGTTGCAAATTTAAATTTCATCAATCAAAATTATTGTTACAAACGCAAATATTGTTACAAACGCGACAAACACACTCCTCTCCCACCCTGCCCATAGTATCATAGCTCAAATTCAAATGAGTGATAACTGGTACGAAAATATGGATAATGGCAAGTTAACAGGGGTAGTTTTCCTTGATATCAGAAAAGCTTTCGATTCAATAGATCATGTTATACTACTTGAAAACTAGCTTTCTATGGCGTTTCTCAACTTGAACTTGCATGGTTTAAATCCTACCTCTCAAATCGGCAACAACAGTGTCAAGTAAATGGCTGCCTCTCTAATAAAGGTGAAATAATTTGCGGGGTTCCACAAGGTTCCATACTTGGCCCGTTGTTGTTCCTAATTTATATCAACGATTTACCCAACTGTCTAAAGACAACAACACCCTGTCTATACGCAGATGATACCCAAATTTTCGCCTCTTCGTACGACTCTATTGCGCTGGCTAATGATATAAACTCTGATTTAGAAAATGTCACAGATTGGTTAAATGTAAATAAACTCCAATCCCACCCTTCTAAGGCTAAGCTTATTGTCATAGGATCTAAACAAAATTTGACCAACAAAATTGGTGAATTGTACAACAGTATTATCATGAACAATAACGTAATTTCACCTGTTGTCTCGAATAAATGTTTGAGAGTTGATCTTGATGAGAGATTGACTTTTGACATCAATATTGAAGAAATATGCAAGAAGATCTGTTCAGGCATAGGAGCATTGAGGAGAATTAAACCATTCGTTCCGCAGACCTCTCTTGTTACATTATACAAATCATTAATTCAACCGTATTTTGATTATTGCTCTCCCCTGTGGGATACATGCGATAAAATATTAAAAGATAAATTGCAAATATTACAAAATCGTGCGGCTAGGGTTATCACTGGAGCAAGATATGATGATAGGATTAGATCAAGTGATCTTTTGGAAGGTTTAGGATGGAATAATCTACATGTTAGGCGGGCTAAGTTGAAGAGTATCCTAATGTATAAAATCCTTAATGAAAATTGTTCGCCATGTTTAAGAGAAAGCTTTGTAAGACTTAGTGAACTTAATAGACGCCATAATTTACGAAATCAGGAAACGGATCTAGCACTTCCAAAACCAAAAACTAATTTTTTGAAGAGAAGCTTTAAATATAGCGCATCAATGCTGTGGAATAATCTTCCATTAGATGCAAAAAGAGCGACTTCACTCAGTCAATTTAAGCGTAGTATTGCGGAACTGTCCTTTTAGAACCATGTTGACTTAATTATAGTTAACTCTCTTTATTTACTTTACTTGACTTTATTTTTCTCAATTTGTTGTTGGGGGGAGGTTGGGGGGTTCATATAATATTCCATATATTCTACTGTTTTATATATCACGCCCCTCCTGTAAATCAGCTTTTAGTTGTGCGAGGCTAGCGTGTTCTTGATTTTAAATAAAATTGATTGATGATGATGATGATCATTTTAATTTATCACCCAGAATCTGGGTGACACGTGACCAGCCGAAACCAGGGTCTTTCCTTCGCCTCGCGCCGTTCTAAGACAGACCCTGGGAACGAGGTTGAAGTGGCTCCTACCTTTTTAATATTTTCCTAAATGATTTAGAGGTGGACACAGACGGCGAGAACGCTCTTTTTAAATATGCGGACGATTCAAATATAATAGTGCCAGTTTGGAGTGACGGTCCTGATACATCAACAGATACAGTTGGACAATTCCTGAGATGGTCTGACGATAATTTTATGACTTGTAACTCTGGTAAATGTAAAGAGCTTATCATCCGGAAGAAGGGATATAATGATCAACTCGACAATGTTTATAATATACCCCAATGCAAAGAACTTCCCATTTTAGGTACTATTTTTCAAGACAATCTCAAGTTCACCAGTCATGTGCGAGGTAAATTGGTCAAAGCAAACAAATGCTTGTACGTTATACGAACACTCAGGGCAGAAGGCATAGCCAATGTGAGATAGATTATCTATTTAAGAACCTAGTAATATCTACTATAACGTTTGGCCTGTCCGTCTACGGTTCTTCTCCAGCTGAACTCAGTACTCTATACTACTCTACAACGGTTTTTTGACAGATGTTTCAAGCGAAAGTATATATCAGAACCTGTAAATATTAGATATCTTTTAGAAATACAGGACAGAAATATTTTTAAAGCTTCTGTAAATCAGAAGAGTGCCATAGTCGACTTGATACCAAGAAAAAAATCCACAAGCTACTCTTTGAGGACAGAGTTTAGTCAGTATCCAAGAGTGAACACGGAACGTTTTAAATTGTCGTTTGCAAATAGATTAATTTTTAACTATAACCTATTCATATGATGTAAACTTTACTAATGTATTCTTAATATTTACTTGTAACATAAGATATGTATTTTTATCTTTTGATCTAATAAAAAGAATTGAATTGAATTGAATGTAACATGCTGGCATCTTTGGGGCCTTTAACTTTAGTAGGACGTACACTGGTAAGTGGTCACTGATAGAAGTGTTAATAACACCACTCTCAAGAACAAGTGATGTGGATGAGACTAGAATAACATCAATAAGCGTTTGGGACGTCGCCGTGATTCTAGTTGGAGTTTTAATAATCTGTGTGAGATTTAATTCTGTAGAAAAATTTGTTAGCGCTCTCCGCTCTTGGCCGTTTTCTAGCATGTTACAATTTAAGTCACCGAGCACTAAAATCTGTTTATTCAAAGTTAAAGCCTGCACATAATTTGGCTTAAGTAAATCTTCGAAACAATTTAGAGAAGTGTCAGGTGGTCGGTAGGTTACACAAATTATTATTGATTTGTTTTTTTGGCATTGTAGATTTATCCATATAGTTGATGAAAGTTAGAGACTGACACCTTCGATAAATCTTTTAAGACAGTTGCTTTAATATTCTTCTTGATATAAGCACAGACACCTCCACCTTTCTTGTGTAACCGGTCAAGTCTGTGGATCTTATAATCGTCGATTGCAATCTCACGGTTCGTTACTGAGGAATTTAACCACGATTCGGAAATTGTGAGGACATCGATATTATTTAACTTTACTAGTTAAATTATTTAACTTTACTAGTTATTATTTAACTTTACCGCGTTTTCGCTCGAGCCGGTTTTCGCTTGCCCTGAGATTCATTGTTGGCCGGTTAGTATGGAATAGCATACCGAGCATACGCCATACTACATATAAAAAGGTCGCACACGACGAGGAGGTACTAGGCTATATGTCCTGTATATATCATTATCGAGGTACTGACACAGTATAGCACGAAAGATTGCATACACTAAATTACTCAATCGGCGGAAGTTGAAAATTACACATCTATTTTTCAAGTGCAAGTTGTAAAATCAACTTGTTGACATGGAGTTTGGGTAATGGTCGAGTGTCGAGGGTCGAGAGGGTCATAGGTCGAGGGTCGAGGTTCGGAAGTCGAGGTCGAGGGTCAAAAGTCGAGGTCGAGGGTCAAGAGTCGAAAATACTAAATTTTTATCCATTTTAAAAGTTTTACAACCATTAAACGCGGCAAAACAATTAGTTTTGCTGTCAAAACTGAAAAATTTCGCCTATGGCTATGCCGTATGGCTATGTACTGTATAACTGAAAGTTTCGTTTGTGAACTGATGCGAGGTGATGTTTGAAAGCATACATCTTTTATTATACATTGGAGTTTAAAATATACAAGACATACAAACACGGACGATTTATACAAAAATATGGCGTTTCACTCTCATGAGAAACTGATTATAGCCTATAGGTAATATGTTATCACTTGGACTTGGAGGCGAAAGAGTAAGAGTTCTGAAATTCTCAGACCGCGTAATTCAAAAACCGCGTATGGTTTTGGAGGTTTAAAGCGTTAGGGTGTGCGAGAAACAGTTGATATTTAGTATATTTTATAACATCGTGTTTACATGTCTGCACTGGAAGTGCACATGTTCGATTGACAGTTTCATATTCATAATATAGTTGCGAGAACGTTGTAATGTAATAAAATGGAAACGTTCTTTAGTTATTCTGTCAGAAATAACATGCACGAAGCACGAATCTTTATAACAGGGTGATTTTAGTTCGGTTCAGAATTATCTCACGACCATTGTGAGAGATTTTTGCTGCGCTGGGACCCGATTCGTTCTGATAGTACAATATTCAATAAATACAATATATTTTTGAATCACCCCACCGGCACCGTACGTTCTCGAATATTTTTAGTAATTTTACACTTTCTTGAAAAACTACACGACGCTCTTCCGATCTCTAAGGCATGTTCTGTACTAACAGTAATAAAGTTCGTTATCAGGAGAACCTTTAAAATTTTGACAACAAATGCCAAAAATGTAGTATTCTAGAAATGTTTAATACAAAACTAATATTTCCCATTTTCGACCCTCGACTTCTGACCCTCGACCTCGACTTTTGACCCTCGACCTCGACTTTCGAACCTCGACCTATGACCCTCGACCCTCGACCTATGACCCTCGACCCATAACCCTCGACACTCGACCATTACCCAAACTCGTTGACATGTTGTTTATCAATATAAAAATGGCGGGAATAATTTGGTGTATGCAATCTTTCGTGCTATACTGTGTCAGTACCTCGATAATGATATATACAGGACATATAGCCTAGTACCGCGTCGTCGTGTGCGACGTTTTTATATGTAGTATGTTCGGTATGCTATGCCATACTAGACGGCCAACAATGAATCTCAGAGCAAGCGAAAACTGGCTCGAACCAAAACGCGGATAGAGTCGTAGGATTTTTACTCGTACTAAAATTCCCTCACTTAGTGTCAGTTTAATTTACAGTTTAAACATGGACGAATAGACACACATGCATGCGTTGAAACATCATTTATACAGGGTGTATCAAAATAAACGCAATTCATCTTTTGTGCTTAATAACTTTCGAAATACTATTTCTAGTTAAACGCTTTTAGGCTTACTTCAAAGCCTGTTCTTTTCTCTTTCAAACAAACTATTATCCTTGTCTCCAATGCTAGTAATAATTGCACAGGAAAAGATTTAGTAAAACCTATCATTTTTAGTTGCTGTTTAATTATGCAAGTTTACTATGTTATTGTTTAGTCGGTTTAAATGTTAGAATTTTCTTCTTTAAACTTTAATGTTGTCGTCACTACATCTGGAAAACCACGTAAGAACAAATTAAAAGTATTTTAAAAGAGACCAGGTTGTTTGAAAATCCTAAACGAATGCTAAAAATCGTCAAAACATTCTGGTGTCTGAGCCAGAGTGTCATCGAATTGCGATGTAATGTAAACAGAAATTATAGCAAGTTGATGTCAGTCAGCTTAGATGGTCCAAGCCAAAATTATATCGCATTTGAAGTTTCAAACTGAGTTAAAAATAGTGGAAGAAAAGCCGTAATTATACTTATTGTTACAATCCATTTAATAAAATGCAACATTTTTTGTTTTAATGAAAAAATCAGTTATTTTCATGAGAACGATTTGTTATTCCATCTCAATTTTTTTAATCTCCAATCGCAATAACGTAAAGTATTATTACCCGCGAACCAATGAGTCAAATTTAAGAAACAACCCACTGTTAGAAAGCTGAATGGCTACGCTTTAAAATGAATGTAAACTTTCACGTTTTCGTCTATTATTTGTTTAGCAATTTACATTTCAGTCGAGGATTGCGCTTTTTTTGATACACCCTGTATACAACTTACATGGCCTATAATTATATTTGTTTGTATTTTTGTCATTTGAAAATCAACGAGAATTGAAAATTACCCTTTTGCACTTCAAAAGTAGCTATTAAAGTCGGTAAAATCAAGGAAGCCAATAATATTTTGATTGACATGTTTTCAACAACAAACAAAGATGGGCCATTTATTCTCAACAAATAACAATTCTAGGTTTGATTTCTATTTTTCGGGCAAATATTTATTACTTTGAGACTGATTTCTGCGAGGATTTCTGTTCGTTATTAGTAGCTATCGGTCAGCCAAGTCAGAAAATTGAAAAGGCACGTTTTACGCAATAATTATTGCAGCAATACTTTCACACCCCCGGTATTTTTTTTCCGAATTTTTAACAAATTAAGAATTTTTAGTGTTGCGGTGTTCCGTGTTCCGGAATGATGCTGTTCCGGTGTTCCGTGTTCCGTTGTTCCGGTGTTCCTGGTTTTACTAATAGCCCAATATTTCAACTTGGGCATAAACAAGTCAATTAACTACGGGGGTGTTGTGTCTCTTCGTCTTTTTTCCTTCAACGGGCCTGCTCTGAACAAAACCTCGAATTACGTGTAAAGACCCATACAGACCGGACGCGATTCGGCAACGCGACGAGAATTTTCAGTTTTTAAAAACAAATAAAACCGTCAACGGATACAAATTTTCCAAAATACACAGATCAAGGGGCCTGTTCATGCATGAGCCGGGCTGGCCCGATCGGATCGACCTTAAGGTCGAGACACCTGTCATTTGAAAAACTTAAACCAGGATCAAAGTTATCGGTCAGTGAAAATCGAAAAATCGCGTCGCGTTGTCGAATCGCGTCTGGTGTGTATGGACCTTACAGTTGATTTCATGAAACTTTGGCCGCGCCAATTGCGAGGTTGGTTGGGAATTTGGGAACTATAAACACGAGATCATCAAGTTGATTGGAAACCGGCCAATCAAATTCGGAAGTTTCGCATCAAATTATCGAAATTCGTTATGAAATTCCGAACCAAGTTCGCAAATTGCAAACGATTTTGGCGGTAAATTTTCATACCTAAACTTATTGTATTAAACTTTTTCATTTAATAATTAATTATATAATAATAATTTCAACTGTAAAAGTGGAATTAAATCACGTATAAGTCGTATAATACAGGGAATTTATGGGCCTTCGCTCGAAACGTCGAAATTCTCCTTATATTTTTCAAGTAGTTCCATCTCCACAAACGAAAGCTTAAGTGTTCAAGTACTATAGGGCGAGACTTTTTTTATTTATTGGTTTATGG